ACCAGATGTTTGTCATTTCATACAACTACACGTCTTTGTATTTAGATCGACCAGCCCATTTAAGTTATTATCCAGTACTTGAAACAAAGTGTTTGAACATGGTTCAACTCTCCATGACGTTGACTTCACAACACGTTTCGTTATCTTTTTTTCAGTCCATATTGTAACACGATGTTCCAATGTTCCTGTAAATTTAAATAAACAATACTTAGTAAAATATATGATAAGTTATGATTTTAAAGAAATAATTACATGCATGGTTTCTTTTCTTGTAGTACCACTGTTGAATAGAGGCTCGAAAAAAACTCCATTAACATAGTAATAGGTAATTTTCGGGAATGACGACTTAGAGCGTTGATTGATTCTGCACTATTAGACATCATGAAACCATATCTTGCTCCAAGTTGATGTACTCTTGACCATCTTTCAAACCCGACATCTTCTAGTGTTTGAGCACACTGAGGCAAAACACGTCTTAAACAGATTATATGCTTATTAAAATCCACTTCCCGATAAGCTTTTACAGCCTTCCAGTATGTCCATTTGTGCTTTTTTATACCAGCAGACCTTGATTTTAGATTTCTATACAAATGAACACCACAAAGTCCATGAAAAGCATCTGGGAAACACCTTCTAACAGCGTTGTCAATTGAGTTTTCCCTATCGGATATGATTGTCAGATTGCTAATAAGACCTATGCAATCCCTAAGATGCCCCATAAACCATGTCCATGAATCAGAGGTTTCAGATTTGCCAACCCCGTAAGCTATTGGCAATATCCCATTGTTAGCATCCATGGCTACTGTTAATAAGTTTACTCCAAGATATCGACCTTTCAAATATTCTCCGTCAACTATAATAACTGGGCGCATGCAAGTAATAAACGAACGAATCTACAAAATAATATACACAAGAAATATAATCATTTAAATGTGAAATGCATGTAACTAACAAAAATGAGTCAACAAAATTATATTGATTTACTAACCGTAGCACCAATGGCGATAAACAGCAACTCAAAGCGTCCATCTCTATATGTTTTGATATGAGTTACCGACCCAGGATTTTTCAGCTTTAAATTGTGACAATAAGCCGGCAGTTGGGCAAACGATGCTTCTGGCGACCCCCTCAACAATTCCAAGGCATAACATTTGGCTCTCCAAGCTTGAGAATATGATATACTAATCTTGAACCGAGCATTCATGTCAGTCATAATTTCATGTCCCCGATATACACTGCCATTCAAAAACATTAACTCAGCCAGAAAACCACCCAACACCTTTTTGTTTGCCTGTCTATGGTTAGGAAAAACTTGGGTTCTTGAACATGTATGTTTATCAATAAAAGTCCTAACTTGAAACACTTCGCAATCTTTTATCCTCTTTGCAATCATACGCCACGTACAATTTTTATCAATCATACACCTTGTTTCGAAACGATCTTTGCTTGATTTGTTAACTTTTAGTTGATAGCCATCTTCCACACATTTCGTATACAAAGCTATCTTCAAGTCTTCCTTTGTATCAAAACAATCATCTTTCTTGATACGAATAACTTTTGTGTAACAATCAACTGCATTATTTACCAACTCTTCTTCCGGTATCTGAAGTAATTCTGGCATATTCCAGTTATACTCCCGTGGCATTTTCTTCTTTTTCTTTTCTTCGGGGAATTCTTCTCCTTCTGTTTCTTCTTCAGGGTTATATGAATTACAGAATGGATGTTCAACATGTTCATTCACATTCGTAACTTCCTGCTCATTATCATCAACAACATCTTCTTCGGCAACACCTGTTTCATCATCAAAATTCGGGTATTGACCAATATCAAAATCATTACACGCCGGGTTTGATTCTTCTTCTGAAACATCATCAAAATCCGAGTATTGACCAAGATCAAAGTCCATGTATTGACCAAGATCAAATTTCGAATACTGACTAGTACTCACAATTTTTTCTGTTGGCTCATCATCGTCTAACTGGTCAATACGAAAACCGAAATTTGGTGCTGAAAGTTGATTGGGATTTGGATTAGGGAAAGGTTGTAGGTTTTGAGATTGTGTTTGATATTGTGTTTGGTATTGGAAATGTGGTGAAACAAAAATTTCTTGGTCATGAAATTGTGGTGGAACCATTAAATTTTGAGGTTGATAACAACGTTGTACATTGTGAGCACCATAAACTGGGGCTGAACAACTTAGTTGATTACTACCCGCTACTGACCCAACTTCACTACTTCTAGGTTCAACAACATACAATGTAACATCATCTTGCGAAACTCTAATGTAAGCAATGAATCGTTCAACATCTTCATTGTCGGATAACAAATAAACTTTACCTTTTCTCTGATAAGATAACCTAAATCCACTTAGGGGCTCTAAATTCAATTTCTTTGAAACACGTAAAATTAGAGTTTCATAAGTTAACTTTTGTAAAGACAGTTTTAGTTGAAGATTCATAGGTAAATGCATATATTGTAAAACACCATGAACATTCTCCCATGACTCTCCAAAACACAAATTTATCCAAACATGATCAACATTAGATGATTTCATGGTTGTAAATTAATTTACTAAACAGACGAGCTGCGAAACTAAAATCTGTTGCCGGATGGGGAAGGATGTCGTTGGATATAGGAACGGATGTCACCGGAGAGAGTGATAGATGGAGATGGAATGAGTTGCGATTTAGGGATTTAGTTTATGATTTGCTGCTGTTGCGTAGTTATATACCCAAAATTTAAGTGTTGCGATTTACAGATTCTCGTTGCGATTTACGGATTATCGTTGCGATTTACGGATTATCGTTGCGATTTACAGATTCTCGTTGCGATTAACGTATTCTGGTTGCGATAATCAGAATCGTGTTGCGATTTTACGTATTCTCATTACGATTTACGGATACGCGTTGCGATTTTACGTATTGTCGTTGCGATTTACGGATACACGTTGTGATTTTACGTATTGTCGTTGCGATTTACGGATACACGTTGCGATTTTACGGATACTCGTTGCGATAGTCAGAATCGCGTTGCGATTTACGTATTCTCGTTGCGATTTACGGATACGCGTTGCGATTTTACGTATTGTCGTTGCGATTTACGGATACGCGTTGTGATTTTTACGAATACTCGTTGCGATTTACGGATACGTGTTGCGACTTTACGTATTGTCGTTGCGATTTACGGATACGCGTTGCGATTTTTACGAATACGCGTTGCGATTTATATGTTCGCGTTGCGATTTTCATATTCGCATTGCGATTCTGGAAACTGATTTGCGATCCTGGGGATCGCGTTGCGATTTTCATATTCGCGTTGCGATTTTGTTGGTCATTTTGGCAAATCCAAAAAAAGTTGGTTAAAATCGTATATTATAAGGCATTTTTGGTCACTGAGACGATTTTCTTTTTTATAAATAAAGCATCATATTTATTGTTATGTTGAGACTTTAGGTAGGAGACTTGTAAAATAGAATTTTATAAATAAAGAATCATATTTATTGTTTTAGAAATACTCTCGATATATATATTGTTATGTTGAATTTTATAAATAAAGCATCATATTTATTGATATATTACATGATGTGTTTGGTTCACGGAATGTAAGATTACCAGTGAGAATAAAAGATTACTGGGGAATAGGGTTACTGAGAATGTTGTATTTTGTGTTTAGTTAGTTTAGCAGGAATATAAGATTATAGTGTTTGGTTAAAGGAATAAAATACTATTGGATATATATTTTACCAAATTGTCCTTATTATATATTTGTTTTTTTAACAAGTTGAATTCTACTATAATATTACTATAATTAATTTATATATTTTCTTTAAAAAATTTAAATTCATAAAATTTATATAATTTTTTTACAAAATTGAAAAGATAAATAGGTTTAATGAAAGGGTTTAATTTTATTTTAACCCCTGAACTTCATATAAAATTTTAATTATAGACGTTTTTGTAAATCTAAAATAGTTTAAGCATAAATTTGTAATTTAACCTACATAGAATTTTTATTTTTCAACGACAGAATAATGATATTTTTGAAGAAAAAAAAATTAAGGGCATTTTAGTCTAAAACACCAATAATCCAACAATACCTAAAAGAATGGGGTAATCACATTCCTGTTAATATACTTCAAAATACCAAAATTTTTCATGTATATAATCACACTGATAAAATTTTATATATAACACTAGATGGAAGTAAAGTTAACTAGACAATGATTCAAAAGAAAACTAAACAAAAAAAAAAAATCAAAATCTCATCCCGGTTCAATCTACAAACAAGTCTAATGAAGGATGAGATCTTTTAATGAGTTTAAATAAATCAAAAATTGAAAGAACCAAATCAATTCACTAGTTACAGAGATGCTTGTTATAAAGATCTCGAGTTCTAACACTAACGATTACAATATATTAGAGTGTTTATTATCAAAAGATTAAAAGTCTTTAGAGTATATATTATTATTCGTAACCCAAAAGCTTTTGGGTTAAAAGGCTTAACGATCTCTCCAGTGAAATCCAAGTCATTTCGTCCAAAATGTCCGTAAGCCGCAGTCCTTTGGTACCTAAACTAGGGGAGAGCATTTGATCGAGTCGAGTCAAAATTTTTTGAATTATTCGAGTTGGCGAGTCGTATTTCACAACTCAAATTTAAGTTAAAATTTTTTCTAGTTGAGTCAAGTTATTCGAGTTTCTATACTAATTTTATTATAATTATTTATAGTATTATCACAAGGATTTATTCTAAATTTTTAACTTTGTCTAACCATATATATAACTCTTTTCACATTATAGTGGTAGGACACATTGCACTCCCAAAGGAAAAACTTAGTTTCGAGTTTTAGAAATAATATTAATGGGAGAGACACTTTTGAACCCCAAAAATAGTTCCTTAAATAAACACAAAGGACACCAAAAAAAATACAAGCGTCTAAAATTACACAACACGATCAATTAATACCATAAGGCACAAACACAATCATAACCATGGGAAATAATATAAGCATGAAACTAATCAAGTCCACTAGTTCACTCCAGAAATGGCAATATTTAAACAAAGATATTGTTTGACTTATTTTTACACTGCAGATCCATGCTTTGCCTTGGAATGGGATTGTAAAGCATTTTCGGATCCAAATGACCTGGACAAGTTTTGATGGCAATGAATTTTAATCCATATGTAAGCAAAAATAACTGTAATTGGTTTAAGTACTTGATAACCGACTGACCTTCCACAAGACTTGCAAAGGAATGATGAACCACCTGAATTTGAACTCTGTTTTGCCTGACCAGTGGTTGCCGATGCTTTTCTGGCTTGCTTTGAAGGGTGAGGGGTTGCGGTATGTCCGCCCACTTTCTTGCCATCTGCATCAAAGATTTTGTAATTCTTTTAACAATAAACATTTTAATTATGGTTTGATGAATGTGCCATTATGAATCCCTCATTGGTCATTTAGCAATCACCATCTCAAGAAGAGCACATATAGAAGAGAAAATGTACCTGTCTTTTGGGGAGTGACCAGCTTTGCCTTTTTTCCGGGAGCAGGGGTCTTCATAGCTGACTCGGCAGACCTCTTCTTGCTTGGTCCGGCCTAAGGAGAACCAATCAGCGGTGATTAGAATGACAAAGTAAAAACTCAACTGAAACACCTCAAATTCCTGAATGAAAAAGCTTAAAGCATATGTTTTCACCTTTTCAGCCTCAGGTGTCTCTTGATCCTCATCTGAACTTTCTTCTTCACTATCATCATCACTTTCATACTCACCATTGACTAACAGGCCAGGTTCCTAAAACAATAACTCAAAATCGACAGTAACCAGACATGGTATTATGTCACAAATTGGATTATGAAACAACAATAAAAAAAGCAGCTCCAACCAAGATCAAGATAAATACAGTAAACATTTAATTCAGCAAATTCTTGGATGAAAAGGAAATATCAAAATTTGATATAAAGACAAAATATTATAAAGGAAAACATCGAAGATTTACTAGGTATGCAACAGGGATAGTTGTGTCCCTAATGTACCATCAATCATTAACACAGTTTTAACACCTTATTTCAACTATTCAGAATTATGATTTGCCCAAAAATGGGGAAGAACTTATCAGTTGGTTATGATACTAATTGCTAGACATCTACCTGATCATCACTGGACACTTCATCCTCAGTAGAAGTATCGTCTTCATCCTCATCATCACTGCTATCCTCCTCTTTGTTTGGTTCCACATTCTTAACCTGCTTTGACGTAGTAGGATCAGATGCTATAGCATGAGGCGTTACGGGAGAAACTGTGGGTTTAGGGAACTCATCTTCAGACTCAGAATCTGTAAAGTAAAAATTGAAACATGGTTTACAGATTCAAAGATTACTAAAAAAATACAAAACACTATCAGAATGACTTACCACCACCTTGAGTTGTATCAACATAATACCCAGTGAAATATATATTGCCGTTCTTCCAGGTATGGGACAACTCAAACTTGCCATGCAACACCAAATCCAGTTGCATCTGGGGGAATTTCTCATGGGAAAGTGTTCCAATTACAAACTTCTCGTTTTTGAATTTAAGATAGATGCAAGCATCTCCATTTCCTTTTTCCTTCTTCTTATCACCGGTTACCTCACCAAGGGCAACCTGTGAGTTATACAGTAGCAAATTTAATAGATATCTAAGTATAGTAGACAAAGTACAAACACGAAGTATGGAAACCAGAATTCCCTAATTACCTGTGAAATATGCAAGATCCTACAGCCACCATCCTCCAATTCCACCTCAAAGATCTGTCCAGTTTTAACCTCAGCACCTATATATATGTTGCCAAATTTCAGAGGACAACGGGCGTACATAATTCGTTAGAACCAAAAACATTGAAGGATGCAATGATAAGTTAAAAAACCAACACAAAATCGCAAATATGCAAACATTAAAAAAAAATCAACATGCAATCATCAATAAGAAACAAAAGCTTCAATTAAGGGACTATGATGAAACATAATACCAAGAGTACTAGCAGAGAGAACATATTCTTAAATTTTATACAATAAACAAGATAACTCCTAACTTAGGGAAATCAATTAAGTGATTTTATATCTTAAAATTAATAATAATTCCAAGCCGCACTCTAATATGCATAATCAAAGATAAAAACTATCAAACTGAAAGCAAAATAACTTGATTAAGAAACAACCTGAAAGATCAAATCCTTTCTGGAAAACAGTAACCGAAGTTCCGAACATATAATTAGCATTTCTAAAATAAGCGATGAGCAAATACTAATAAACATTAATTTCTGCTGATTCCGTAACTGAAAGAAAGATTAAAAGAAACGAAAATCTAATTAAAACAAACGATAGAAGTGATGTAGAGAGAAATTTACCCCAAAACTCCATTTGCAGTGTGAGAGAAGAAATCCGTCAGTCAACGACGCAGAGAGTGTGTAATTAGTATTGTCCATCGGGCGTCGACTTTTTGAAAACTTGGGGAGCGGGGTGAGGCTGTGATCTAGTGTTTCCCAGAGTAGAGTAAAAAGATTCTGATGTGGGATTCTTTTTTTGGGTAATCAACCAGTTTGGGCTTTCTTGAAAGAACCTGACGGCCCAAATATCTTGGATCTCTTATCAAATGCAGCACCCGGTCTATCCACCGACCACTGTCTCTAGACTCTCCGCATGGCGCCGAGGCGACTCGTCTTGGCGCACGATTGTCTCATCCGCCAATGTGGGTCGTACTGGAATGTTATGAGGGAGAGGGAGCCTTCATGGCTTCGTAGATCTTTCGGCCAGCCAACACCACCTCGTTGTTCTTGAACATCTCGCGAGCTACCTTGTTGGATGAGATGATCGTGGAGTCATGAGCCCAAGGTCATGATGGGTCCATGCCAACGAAGCAACTTGGCAAACGATCATCGACCTTGATGGAAGTCGCCCTACCTCTTCTAACCGCCGATAATACCAATAACGAACATAAAATTTTATGTTAGGCGACGAATTTAAACTTTTTAAATTTTAAAGGATAAACTTAAACTTTTAAAATTTAAAGGAACAAAAAAAGATTTTTAATAAAAAAATATATAATATTTTTAAAATTTCATAAGGACGATTATCTTTAACCCTTCGGTTTATCTCTGGATGGCACCACTCTATCCTCATGGCCCATGCAGCCATGCAACCAGTGGCAGATGTAGACTTTGGTCAATATGGACACATTTTCACCCTGAAATCTGTTTTTATTTATGTTAATAGTTCATTTTATTTAGAGTTTCCACCTTAAAATTTTATTTGTGCATGTCTCATGTGAAAAATTTATGTTATTAATATATGTGTATCCACCAAAAAAAATATTTCTAGATCCGCCCCTGCATGCAACCCATAGGAAAATTGCTATACCTCTATGTGTGTATATATATATATATATATATATATGTATGTATGTATCATGTATGTATCAATGTGTGCATATATAGAGATAGATATTACGTTTAAATCATAACAATGATTTCACATATATAATAGGGGAAGCACTCTTTATAAAAGCCGGTAGATTTAAAGCGACAAAATCAAGCAGATTAGCAATGGTTTGATAGGTATCTTCGAGTCATTGTTATTTTAAAATTGATAAAATATCAAGTACATTATCTCAATTTTTTAATTATTTTTCAAATACTTGATAGTGAAAAATACATGAGAACTAAATCCAAATGCCAACAACCTATGGAATTAGAAAAAAAGAACTCACTAATAGAATTGAATGAATGGGATATGCATCAACTAAGCCACCTCGGTGGAAATGAATTATTGTTATTCTTTGAGATATTGTGTTTGAGTATTAGAAATACCAAGGGTGTGAGCGTTCAATGTCATGTCAAATAGTATAGAGTTATCTATGAACAAATCTTGCATTGTACTTACCACAAACTAATAAAAAAGAATGAATAAGATATGATATTAAAGGGTTTGAATTTAGATTTTAGGCACTAAACGCGTTAAATTTTGAACAACAGATATTAAAATGAAACAAAAATTAAACTTTAGGTATGTTTTTGAAAAAAATGAAAGTTTAAGTACTAAAACGAATCAAAATTAATAGTTTAGAGTTTAAAGTTTATAGCATAACGATATATTTTAGGAATATAATACCTCTTCATTTAATAAAAAAATCATTTCACTAACAATGTATCAAATACTAACCATCTGATCCCCTCCCATTATCTATTTGACTTTGTCCTGGTTGCATTTTGGCCCCTCCTATAAAATAGGTAAATTGGTAGAAGAAAAATAATTTATTTGTTATAAAATTTCGGATACAATAGTTTCAGCTTATGACCACTTCCTACCTCTAATTCTAAACTACGAGTGCTATCAGTGAACTACAAAAACCTCAACAGTATCACATTGTCTTCTTATAAACCGGTAATCATCTTTGAGTTTATACTATTTCTTATGCATTTAAATACAATAAATTTTTCCACCATACGAAATTACAGATTTTCGATCAAGTCGGCATCGCAGGCGAAAAATAGAAACCTGGCCTCCAGATGTTACAGCCGCAGCATCTTTGGGTCAAGAATAAATCGAAGTCTTCGTTGTAGAAGCACGGCGGCTGAACTGCCGGGTACTTGTTACTAGAGTAGCATTAACCGTATCGGGCCTAATATCAACGGTCACAACAACCGGAAATGAATCAGATCAGCTTATCCTTCCAGTTTGATCAATCAACGTACCAACTTGATCTCCACATAAGGCTTTCGAGATGTTCCCAGGCTGAAGAAGATTAAAGACTGCAACTGTGCCAAAGTAAGTTGACTTAATTCGTATGGGATCAATTGTCTGGTAATGAAAATTCAGAACATGGAAGACGAACACGAATCATGAGTTCTACAAGAATACCAACCAGGAATGCCATTTTCTTCACAGAAGGTCAATGCCATCATGTCCATGGCTGTGGCGCCTCTTGAGACTAAATCTCGAAATGAGATGTGCTCAAATGTAGCATTGTTGTCCTGGGAATGGCAGTCATAAACACCATCTACATTCGTACCTTTAACAACTGCCTCAGCTTGAACTGAAGAGAAATCAGTAGACACGTCAAATGTTGAGAAAAGAAAGAAAAAAGTGCATATAATTTAAGAGACTGAATTCTAGAAAACAGGAAGAGAGACGATCATACTTTCCGAAGCTCGAAGCGCAGCAGCTGTGTCAGTAGAAAAGAGTGGATTTCCAGTGCCAGCACCAATGCCACCAAATATTACGACTCTACCTTTTTCAAGATGACGTATGGCACGCTGCCGACTGTATGGTTCTGCAACTTCTTGCACAGAAAATGCCGTTTGCACACGGGTCTGAACACCCATCTTCTCCAACGATGATTGAAGTAGTATAGAATTCATCACGGATGCCATCATGCTGCAGTAAATTGCAGGATCATGATTTTGGTTAGTTTCATAACCAGATACAAAAATATAAGTTAGCCCATGAAGATTAAAAGACAGACAAAAAGCAGATTCATTAGCTAAGATATTTTCTTCGACCCATTCCATCATTTTATTCTGTTTATTGGGATATAATATGCCTATGTTACTTCGAATCTTCATTTTTCCTGAAGTACCTATGTCTGACACCTATATCCAACGCATACTTAGACACGGATAAGAGAATATGATTCTCCAAACGAGAGGAAATCTTGGAAAATAAATAAGCAGGGCACTGTGAGACACATACTCATGTCCGATACTTGCACTTGAATCTAAGCAATATGGAACAACTTACAAGCAGAGGTATTACATATACGGATATACCACCCGACTGAAGTCATTCCCGAGAACATCCAAAAAGTATCGGCTTATGATCATGACCCGAGAACTATAAAACTATCAACCAGAGTTGTTTTAACATACAATATAATGACAGCTATACATCGGTAAACTTAGTCTTACAAGCCTCACCCAAGTTTAAGCTTTATACTCTTCTATTATAGATCAAAATTAAACCAAATTTGGTATGGAAATAAAAAGGAGTATCATCCATCGTGAGTCAAGCAGTGAACACATTACCCAATTTGATATGCAGTACTTCTATCTAAGCCTGTTGCAGTAACCCATGTGTTTCCACAAAAGAAATTGCGACCTCCAACAACGATTGCTACCTGGAATATCACCGAAAAGGACAGCATCTTAACAGGATTGCAAACATCTGCAATCATAAAATATAAAGGAAGTAATTATTACCTCTACACCGAGGCGGCATGCAATTGCAATCTCCTTAGCAATCAACATTGCTACCTGATAATGAGAAAGAAAACACATTTATGCAAACTGACAACAAAATTATCCAGTTTCAAACTTTGTACAGCAAACTCATGGTGCACCTTAGGGTCGATATTGAGAGGACCAGTGCAAGCAAGAGCTGCGCTGCTAATTTTGAATACCACTCTGCGCCATTTAGGACTTTTGGGTTTCACGGTAATCTGTCCTACAGGGCTCGGTGTAGCTAAAGCATATCTGCAAATTAAACAAAAGCTAAGGCATCTCTATCATTATATAAAGAACAGAATACACTAAACATGACTTTTTATCACAAACTAAGGCAGCAACATCATTGTAAGCCAGAGTCAAGAACTATAAAAAGATAGAACGCTTCAAAATTCGAATACAAATTCTGTACAATGAAACAATAAAATCAAACAGACTCTGATTTCACTGAAACAACTCGAGAATATATTTGTTTCCAAATGTACTCATAAAAGAGTGAAACTGAGAACGGTTTGCTCACATTTTTGTTGATAGTTCATATTGACAACGGATTCTAATAATGGTTTAGCATTTGTTGGCAAACGAGTACAGGCAAATATTTAAAAATTGAGTGCGGATTTGAAACTTTGGATATCCATTATCAGAATTCGCATTACTTATGCAGATGATATACCTGAATTATATACATTCAGGTTAGCTTTACTTTTGCGGATAACGAATTTGAATATCACAAATAATCATTTCTCAAGCTATTCCATGGCTACATTCGAACCTAGTGAAACATTAGCAAATAATAACCAGAAGCGGAAATGCTATCGAGATATACCTTTTGGATCGTCTAACGGCAGTTCCAGGAGAAGCGCTAACCTTATCTTCATCAGCTACGGCCTTTGCCGGCAGAGAATTTCCAACAATTTCTTCCATTTTCTTAAACCAAGGCCAATTACTCGCCGTGATGCTGCCATCACTCACCCTATGCCTCTCGAGCTTATATCTTTTCTTCAAATTATCAACCTTGTTCTTGCACTGCTCCACACTCTTGCTCTGCTTCTTGCATCGCTCGCTGACCGCGGTCGCCACCTTTTCCCAATCCCGTCCTCTCAGATTCCCTCTGTTCAGCTGCGTCAGTTTTTCCATATAAGCCTCCAGCAAACATCCAATCGCGGCGTCGCTCCATTCTTCTCTGTCTTTCCGGTACTCCGCCGACGCTGACTGCTTCGATCTCTTCAAAGCTCCGTCATTTATCTCTTCTTGATTACTCCTCTTCCCGATCCGCGCGTCGGACGAGGTAGCGTTACTGCTGTTGTTGGTGGTGGTGTTACCGAAATTGGCTCCGGGGAAAGCGGAGTCGGAGTCATCGTCGGCGTTGTGATTATCGGGTGGTGGCGCGTAAGATAGGTGGTAGTGGTGATCGGGGTTAGTTTCGTGGTCGTCGATGAGAGAGAACTCTTCGTCAACGGAAGAGGCCATAGGTCGACGTTAGCGTTAAGGGGTAGTCGAACGGAAGACGTTAGGGGATGGAGGGAGAAACGTTGAGGAGAGAGTGGAGGGATGGTTCGACGGAACATGATGGGCCGTGACGGTTCCGTTAAGTAACGAGGGAAACTTGGTAAGAATGCGCAGGTGGGTGGATCCCGTGTGGCCTATGGGTCGTCGTCGGTTAAATTCGATATTGACAAATTTGGGTTCAATATGGGCTTTTTAAGGCTAATAATAGGGTTAGCACAAAACCGAGAAAATCGAACAATTTATTTTAATTGATTTATTTGATTTAGTTCAATTCGAGTTTTTAATTTGTTGTTTGATTTTGGTTCAGTTTTAAAAAAATAAATGTGTAATTTAATTCGATTTTAATTTTTCCATATAAAATATGTTTGAACAAAATTAAACTGAATAAAAAAAATAAAAGATAATAAGTATCCAAAACACATTAGTTTTAAATTTATTATAAGAAAATTTTAAATAAATAAACTATTAAAACTAATAATATTTGTTTATAAATTTAAATTTATATATTTAACTATATTTTAACTTTAAGTTTGTTTTTTTATGTTGAGTTTGAAAAATAGTAAACAGTAAAAAACTACCTAACTGTACAAAATCAAAAACAGTAATTTTTATATCATTCAATTTTGATTTTGATTCCCATGTTTAAAACCCGCAAAGTTCTATTTGATTCATATTTTAAAAAAAACCAAACTGAATTGAATACGCCCCTAGCTAATACTCATAAGAAGAGTCCCTCCACCAACGTACAACAATTAAACGTAAGAATCTATATTAATAGTTGGAATAAGTATTTTCCGTCTGAAGCATTTATAATCTAAACGTTCATTTTTAAAAAAATTATATCTAAAGTTTAGTTTTTGTTTCATTTTAGTATCTTGGCGTTAAAAATTTTTAGTTTTTATTTCATTTTACTATCTCATTCAAAATTTAATGTTAAGTTTTGAAAAAATTGGAAGTTTAGGTATTACAACGGACCAAAATTGATAGTTTAGGTACTAAACGCATCAAGTTTTTAACGATAGAATACTAAAATGAAATGAAAACTAAACATTAGGTATGATTTTGAAAAAATTGAAAGTTCAAGTACTAAAACAAATCAAAACTGACAGTTTATGTTCTAAATGCATAATTTATCCTATAATTTATTATAAATATATTTAAAATATTATATGATATGAACCAAGTGACCTAAGTGATTAATGAATGATTGTTATCTCTAGAAATCTTGAATTCGAGTGCAGAGATATTTAAATATTCATTGTAATAATATATTATCTATTAATAAAAATAATAAATATATATAAATATTTGGGCCATATGCTGGACAAGGCGGCGGCGGTCATGAATAAGGCCGTTTGCTGCAGTGTTTGGTTTGTTTCCGAAGAAATTTGGGCCAGCATGTGAATCTGGCTCACATTGTTTGGGCCGTATTTTGTGATACTCTACATTTTTGTCTGTTTTTTTGGGCTCAATAGAGCAAACATATATTTTGCTCAATAAAACATATAGGAATTTATTTTGGGATCTACGACATTTGTTACACTGTTGAAGAAATTGGTCATATTGAGGTGAAGAGTTTACCCAAATAATATTTTTTTTATTTTAACTCATCACGTCGAGATGATGAGTTCCAATAAAATATAATTTTATATTAAATTTTATCACATCGAAGTAAAATGTTTGAATAAAAAATATTTTATATTTAAACTCATCACGTCGACATAACAAATTAATAAACTTCTATATATCTTATTAAGCTAATTAATAAAATTGTTTGTCTTATTGGAGAAAAAAATTCAAAAACCCACAAGGGCTTTGGATTTGATCACAATATTAGCTGACCCTATTCCCATATATAATGGGGTAAGGGGGAGGTAGAATAGTAGGCTGCCCCCAACGTCAGGTTGAGAGCAGCTTCCGTGGGAAACCTCCAGTTATGAATTGCCCTCTGTGGGACTCGATCCCACGACTACAAGATTAAGAGCCTTGCAATCTACCAACTGAACTGGACGGGCAATTCAATTTGATAACAATATGTTATATGTAAAGACCAAAAGCTGATGATGAATGAAGCTTTAATTTTGCACGAGGATGAGTGAATACGAGACAACAAATTCTTTAAATAAATTTAGAGTTTAATTTTTAATATTATAAATAAAATAAATTAGATTGAGATAATTTGTGTTATTTAAGAGTTGAACAATAAAAATAGATGATGTCTGGTCGAATTGATCAGATTATGTAGAATAAGATTCAAGTGTATTGGTCTAATAGAATGCCTCAACCGTATACATAATTCGTTTTCACTTAATACCAATCATAATGATAAACGACTCATCTCACCCTAACTTTCTCTTGAATTCTCAAAATTTATGTCACCCAATTTTTGCCAGGATATAATACATTTTGTCGTCTCGACTATGCTACCAGAAGTTGTGGTGAAGTTGGAATAGGAGCACTCATCTTGGGGTGGAGTTATTATTTAGACGCTTTTAACAGTTATTTGTTTCATAATAAACCCTTATAATATTTCATTCAAATTAATCAGTTAATAAATTAAATATCAATTATTAAAAAAATAAATTCAAACTCGAGGCTAGAGTTGACAATTGAATCGTTAGTGTACTTTAACCTATTTATTTCTAGGGTAAATTACGCATTTAGTACATAAATTATCAGTTTTAATCTGTTTTAGTACGGAAACTTTTGATTTTTTTAAAACCATACCTAACGTTTAGTTTTCGTTTAATTTTAGTATCCCGTCGTTAAAAACTTAATACGTTTAGTACCTAAACTATTAATTTGGTCCATTTTAGTACCTAATTTTCAATTATTTTGAAAATTTAACGTTATATTTTGAACGTGAGTATTAAAATGAAACAAAAATTGAACTTTAAGTATGATTTCGAAAAAAATTGAAACTCTAGATACTAAAACGGATCAAAACTGCTAGTTTAAGTGCTAAACACGTAACTTACCCTGATTTCTATGCACAGTGTAGGCCACGTGACGGGAATAACCAACCTGGCACCGAAATTAAGAAAGGAAAATGGCATGGCTGACGAGCAGAAACAACACATTTGTAGTCATCATCCACTACCCTGTGGATGCTTATAATGTGGAACCGCAAGTTCATATTTTAATTTTAGAAAGATTTAATGCATTAGGTATCAAAGATCCTCCCATTTTGGAATCTCTTTGAAATATATAATACGATTTTCTTCATCAATAATTAGTTTTGATTAAAGCATGGAGAAAACAACTATAAGTACGTTCTCAAGCATAAAATATATATATTAACCATTCATTAATACAACTTTGATATTAATTACATATTATTCATAGCTATTTTTCTGTACATTCTTAGGTGGGACATTGATAGAATAGGATAAATGGACGAAGACAGAAAACCTAAGCCATGTTGCACATATAAAACATGCAAATATGACAATGATGGGCTACCCAAAAAGATTCTCATCCTAACAAACCAACCATGATCATTTACTTAGGTGAGAGCATACTCTATTTTTTTTAAAAACGAAAAGGGTTAGCTACACGGATGATCACTTATGTTTATGTTTTGTCCACTTTTAGTCATTGATTTCAAAAGACACATTCGTTTTTTATTTAATTAAGATGTGATAACCAGGCTTACTTCCGTTAACATATTAGGTGATGTGACAATTAAATATTTTTTAGTATAATCACACATTTTGTCACCGTTATTTACCTATTCTTTCAATTTAATCCTTTTAATAAATTAAAATAAATTAAATATATATTCTTAAAAGTTTCGATAAGAATAAAATATATATTTTTAAATTAAAATAAAAAATAAAATATTTCTAAATTAAAAAATAATAAAATATATCTAATAAGTTAATATAAAAACTATATTTTTGAAGTTACTAGATATAAAATGTTATGAATTTAAGTTAAGTATATATTTATACGCTAAGATACAAAATATATACATCATGTTATCTATTTTAGAGCAAGCATTGGTTGTGACATTAATGACACGTGACATCATTCGATAGGAGGATTAAATTCATTTTAATTTATTAAAAGGATTAAATTGAGATAATATTTAAACAATAGGGACCAAATGTATGATTATACCAAAATATTTAACTGCAACGTCATCGAATCTGTTAACTGTTAACGACAGTTAACCCTTGGTGACTACGTCTTAATCAAATAAAAACAAAAGTGACCATATCTTATTTAAATAAAAACGAAGGCGACTATATATTATGTATTTTGAAATCAATGACCAAAAATGGACAAAACCCAAACATAAGTGATCATTTGTGTAGTTAACCTAAATAAAAAAATTAGAAATTCAACTCAGAGATAGACATTGATTAAATTGGTTAAATTTTTAACAGATCTGAATATTATTATTATTATTATTATTATTTATTTAATTTGACTTAGATTTAAAGAAATTGAATTTTCCATCCAACTCAGTTGGTAGATCGCAAGGCTCTTAACCTTGTGGTCGTGAGATCGAGTCCCACGGTGGGCAATTCATAATTCTGATTGTCGGTAGGTCTCCCACGGAAGCTGCTCTTAACCTGACGTTGGGGGTAGCCTACTATCCTACCTCCCCTTACCTCATTACATATGGGAACAGGATCACTTAAGTTTTAAGTTAGATTTAAAAACTAAAAAAAAGACTAAAACTGATAATTTAAGTACTAAAAAAAACATAATTTACCCTTCACTTTAATAGAGATTTGCTTGTATAGAGATCTGCAACATTTTCCAGATTCCTCATTATATTTTTCGCTGGTTTAACTTATATCAAACAGATCAATTGGACCAAGGAAAATATCGGAAACATAAATGGGTACAACGGGAAATTCGATCGTACTCGGGTCAGAATCCTCTCAACAGGGGTTGAATGAAAGAAAAGCATTGGAGCTTTGAAGATGGCATTGCTGAGACCAGAGAAGAAGGCTTTAGAAGCTATTAATCCCCAAAACATCTTTGTCTACAAGTTTCTGAGTTTGAAAACACAATTGTAATACATGAATTATTATGGTTAAATCTTAAACCCTGCAATTAGACTAACCATATCTTAGAAGGGTTCCTCGAGTGACCTTGGTAGAGTCGACTACCGAAAATTCTTTGTAGTCAAAAGGAACAAGCGATTATTGGTCATCTATAAGCCACATTTTTCTCCTCTGCCTCCTGAAATAGTAAGCCGCATTAGAACGAAATCCTCAGTGTTATTACCAAAGAATATTAACAAGCTGATATACTTTCTTATCTCATTCTGCCTTTCTCTGCTTCTCCATTTTCTTTTTCCCCTGGGGGAGTCTTTAGTGTGTCAACCTCCTCTTCTTCAGCCGGTGAGTTCAAAGGAGAATCGTACAACTTTCGACAGCACCTGCGTTTCAAAGTCCATTGATAATCAGAATGCAAGATTGTATGTATGTATGTATACATTGAGTAAAAGATTGTAAATGTATGTATGACCATAACTAATGTTTCTTCCCTGGTCGTCCCATTACAAAATTGAAGAACTTTTCCATCCTTTTTTGCTGTGGCCCAGCCTCTACCTCTTCACAGACACTACGTTTTCGATTTACAAGGGGACCATTAGCTATAGATTCATCTGCGGCAGTCTCTTCATTGGTATCTTCCAAGTCTTTCTGATACACTATTCGAACCCCGCATTTCTTCACCTTGACACATTTGGCACAGTCATCAGATGTTATTGACAATTGAAGTTCATCGAATACCTGATTCGAGTAATCTGTTGTCAGTGAATCCTCAGTTTCACTTTCACCATATTTATCCTCGGAGTAAAATGGATATAATAAGTCACGCGGCAAATAAGTATGATAAAAGTGGTCCTTTATCATGGGTTGGACATATTCTTTATTAAAAATCCAGGATCTCCATATGACATGCTGAGGATTTTTAACCCCAGAAACAAATCCATCACAACTCGCTTGTCCAGATTTTCTATGATGGATAACAAATTCACAAGTGAGTTCCTCATCCCTCGAAGCATCATCGTCGACAAAAATGCAGGCAAAAACAACTCCCATCCATTGACTATCATTTCGAATATTGTTAGGCAGTGGTATCTTGATCAACGAGCCAACTGTTTGATGCCTGAACCATTTTGGGATTTCACTTCCAGGCATAACAACGTCAAACCTTTTTCTTGAAATTGCGTGTTGCTGCAAAAATAAATCTTATGTCCCTTGATAACTAGTAGTACTAAAAATTAATTAAACATGAGATTTCGTAAGTGCAGCAGAGAGATTAATCAACCTTAAGATGTCGTCTTCTCAGCAATAATAACATGTCAATATTCTTGACCAATTTGTAGCAGTGAAGACCCCTAAACCGTGCCCAACTCACTGAGTTGCATACCATTGATAGATTTGGAGCAAGTTCCAGAGAAGCACAACAATCTATGAACAAACCTTGTGTACTTGTAAACACAGGCAAATGTTTAAGCTTATTGCAATTTGACAATCCAAGATATTGAAGCTTGGAAAATAGAGTAAGAGATGAAGGTATGATGACGAAATTGTTACCACTGAGATCAAGAGTTATCAAAGAGGATAGAGAAGAAATATCACTGGGAATATCTCCTTCGCAAAGATTGCAGTCCTTCAGTTTCAAGCTAGTTAATGATGTCAAACCTGACAATGAATGTAACATTAGAGGCAATGACTCCATACTTCCTCTTTGGAAAACCTGGAAAAGAGGAGGTAGATTTGTTCCAAACTTGGATGCTGATCCCTTGCACCCATTGAAAGACAGAACCTTAAGATTTTTAAATCGGAAAACGAAGTATGGTGGTATTACAATGGCTGTTCCACTCAAGTCAAGCTCTTCTAGAAACTCTACTTGCTGCAAATCCTCTGGCAATTTATCAACTTTATAACAACCAGAAAGATCAAGACTTTTAAGAGAATTGCACCCTCCTACTTTGGCTGGAAGATTCCTATGACTTTTGCAGCCTCTTAAGTTCAAAATTTCAAGCCTCGAAAGAACTCCGATCGATGGATGAACATCTACTATTTTTATACAACCCTCCAATATCAATATTTCCAGATTTGGGGTGGTTGTGAAGTCTGGTGTCTTGATCAGGTTTCGAGACCCTTTGAGGTTGAGCACCTTCAACTTGTAGAAGAGCTGTTGAAACCGATGATGAATTAGAGATAAAAGAGAAAAACTTGATCAAGAAACCAATCCGATAATGCTAGAAAATAAGGATGGGATGAATGAATTATTACAGTGTTTCGCTTCCATAGTTGTTCGATGCGACTGTATGGCAAGAGAAGAGCAACAAGGTTGTCGGGTTGGAAGCTTGGAGGCAAGAATCTTAAAGGATATCCTGTCCAATCTAAAAGTCGTAGCTCACCAGAAAGATATTTGAGGTCATCACAGTTTGAGAGACAAAGGACTTTGAGCAATCTCAATTTCTTCATCTTCGACAAGGCATCCACATTCAAATTCAGCATCTTCTTCGATTCCCTGATATAGCCATAGGTAAAAGAACGAAAATTCACTTCAAAATATACAAAGGCATCCAATACCAAAGCATTCCCTGATAACAATATGAATATTATACCTTTCATTGCCAATGATCATGGCTTCAATCCCTTCTGTAGCCTAAAAACAATCAAGAACAGAACATCAGAAAACACGACATAAATAATATGTAATTTCTGTGGAATGAGTACTTACAGTGTTTTTGGTTAGCACATGATAGACATCTTTCTCCTCCCACAATCTACAACGTTTTCCGGGTTCCTCAATACATTTTTCCCTAACAATTTTTCTTCCCATTTCTTGTAGCAGGTTATGCATCCACAATTTGTTGTTTTCATTAACTGTTAGTAGAGACTTCTTAATGAGAACATCGATTCCGATATCTGGGAAAAACTCACAACCATCCAATACTTTGATTACAAAATCTTTCTCCTCCCCATTGAAGAAGCATGCTATGTCTAGAAATATATCCTTCTCCCTTTCTTCCAATCCATCAAAACTGATTCGAAGCTTGTCGAGAATTTCTTTGTTAGAATCTTTTTCGAGTCTTTCGATTGCACTTTTCCACTGAGTTGCATCTCTACCACACAAAAATGAACCCAAAACTTCAAGAGCTAAAGGAAGTCCACCCGCATATTTTGCAACATGTTTAGAAAGCTCAATGAAACCATTTTCCGGTACTGTCTCACTATCAAAAGCTTTCAAATTGAAAAGCCGAAGTGCATCATTGTCATTCAATGTTGTAGGCTTATACACATCATCGGCTCGGTAAGATTGGAGCAAATGTTCATCTCTTGTTGTTACAATGATTCTGCTTCCTAATCCGAACCAATTACGCCTTCCAACCAAGCATTTCAAGTGTTGTTCATTGTCCACATCATCAACAACAACAAGAACCTTTTTGTGAGACAGCCTTTGGCTAATTATGGCATTCCCTTCATGAACATTGAAAAAATTGAAACCTTCATCAGACGAGACCTGGAAAAGAAGTTGTTTCTGTAGAGAAACAGGTCCGAATTTCCCTGCAACTTCTCGAACATCAGCGATGAAGCCTTTACCTTCAAAATGAGACGACATTTGGTCGTAAACAACTCTTGCGAGAGTTGTTTTACCGATGCCGCCCATTCCGCAAATTCCTATAACGCGGACATCATCTTCCCCGATCTCTATTTTCGAATACAACTCTTCCAAGCGTGAACCAATTCCAACCAACTCATCGTGAACAATTGGATACGTCTGACATAGTTTTGCGGATATTTTTCTAACAATGTCTGCAATAAATTCTGATTCGGGCCTACGGAGAAACAAAATTTAGTTATTTTCCTACAATTAAACACATAATATTATATCTATAACATGTGATCCGAAAAACAACAATTTAATTTGTAGTCATTAAATCACCTGTCATTTAAATGCCATCCCTTGATGTTTGCCACTTGAGTCAATGCATTTCGCCACCTTAAGATCTTGTCTTCATCTTCCTTGTATCTTTCTTCATGTTTGGCAAAAGCTTCTTCAACTTTCTCTTTCTGTTTTCTAAAACTAGATGGCTCCACGTTGTAGAAAACTGGGAATACTTTATGTCCTTTCTCGTTCTTTTGTTTAACAATCTCGGCAAGCTCCTCCAAGCACCAACCTGAAAAGACATAGGTTTCCGAGAAAACGATTACCGAGCACCACGATTGTCGGATGGCTCTGAAGAGTTCCGGTGCGATCTCTTCACCGGCGACCAGCTTTGGATCATCCCTGAAAGTTACAATTCCACTTCGTTTTAGAGCATCATAGAGATGATCTGTGAAGTTGTTGCGGGTATCTTCGCCTCTAAAACTCAAGAAAACATCGTATTTCCTTGTAGGAATAGATGATGAGGTTGAAGGTAACGATGACATGATGAAGAGTCTGGTGCTGAAAATCAGAAAATAGATCTCTCAATATCCAGAAAGAAACTATAAACAATCAAAGTATAGTATAGGAAGTAGGAACATAAAAAAGAGAGCAAAACAGACCAATTTTCCAAGGAAACAAATCTGGGGTTACAGAGCTGAAATGTATTTGAGAAGGCTTTGTCCATCAGCAAGAAGTAGAGTTTGAAATAAATAGTTCAATTGCTTTAGTTAGATGCGTGTACTTGAGGTTGAGTTGACGAGTTTTGCTCACGAGTTGGTTTCTATGGTTGATATTTTTCCTACCACTTTCTGAACACATTTATTTTCTTAGAAAACGAAAGGGGGAGACTTATCAAGTAAATATTGGATTCTATGGAGGAAACTTGCAGCATGGTCACAATTATGGGGCACTACATTGAGAATTACTGTCTAAATTATGGAACATCAAAACAAAGTTAAGAGTTTTCTTTATGTTAAAAAAAGGTAAACTTTGATTTCCAAAGTCATCTGAGAAACTGCAGCTAGAGGAAATGATAATAATTTTACAAGCCTATGGCAGTTCAAGCCATGATCAAGATCAACCAGTGCCTACAGCTGAGAAAAGCATAATTAAACCTTCAAAAATGGTCGAAGTTCAAATCGAGTTTGCCCTTATATTCCCAAGCAACTTCACAACAACTCACCGGGTAGAAATCAGAAATGAACGATGCATAGCATTTATCCTAGTTTCCTTGTAACTCAGTGCAGATTGGCAAAGAGCAGCAGCAGGTCTACTTGTTGCTATAGCCTCACAGCTGCCTGACCTTTGTAAATCTGTTGCGTCTTCTTTGCTTTGTAGTTGATCCCCGAACTATGACCATCATTTTAAATTAATCCTCAAATTTCTAAAATTTTGGTTTTTCTATAAATTATCGTGTTATCAATTGACGTCAATAGTTCGGAATAAGATTATTTAATTTGATTTCGATTGAAATTAAGCAATCCTATTCCAGATCGATAGATAATTTGAATGACATGGTTCTTGTGGATCAATTTATTCCCTTTCTCAATAAAAATAAATAATATTTTGCCTTATATTAAAACTAAAGTGTTATGAAATCTTTAGTTCAAATTGGTGAAGGAAACTCATAAAAGCTTCAATGTTATCATCCAATGTATAGATCGTCACAGACTATTTCATGTGTACGGAAATAAAGAAAATAGCAAAAACAGTCACTCTTTGGTCTATGTGCTGCAACATCTTCATTGCAACAAAATCCGAAATCCCGCCTATAAGCCCTTTTAGCTGCTCCCTCTAATTTCAATAGCTTATAAAGCCGCTAGCGATCTATAAACGACTTATTCATGATGTTGACGGCATCATCCATGAACTGCAATAACAGTAGCAAGTACATGAAATATTATCAGATGCATATACTTTACATCGATAGTCTTTTTGACCATTTGTCTGAGGGCTCTGGACCCATGTTGCTCGTGTACTTCGTTTTTATTTGAAGTATGCATGTCCAGTGCTCGTGTTCAACATATGAATAGATATGACCTCCAAGGATCCTCTAAATAGATGAATTTAGAACAATCCAACCTTACACGTGGAAGATACATACCCGTATTTGACACTTACACCCGAGTATGATTATCATAGCTCTGGACATCATTATAAACTAGAGGAACCCCATTTCCATCCAATCGACATCAATGTTAAAGACAAAATGCTATATGAATCCCTTGGGCCTATTGGCTACAAAATAACACGTTTCTACTTCATCACAAACATCTCCATCTCAATACTAAAAAAGCTTTTCTTAATTATATTGACTCATTTCGAATTTCAGATGCAACTACCCTGAAAATATGGTCATTAACATCAAAAGTTCCTTATTATGGATGCAAGCGACAAGATAAGTGGATCATTCCATGTGTGCTAGAAAGAGAACATCAAAAAATACAGATTTTTACCTTTCCAAGCAACTTTAGTTCTTTACTGACTGGTTCCACAAACTTTGTGTTAACTTCAATTGGCCACACCTGTCAATACCGAAAAGAAGAAATAAATTAAAAAATGTGTAGCAGGCAAGGTTTACACCCCAGACATAAGCAAAGGAAGCTATTTGTAAAACAGATGCAATGCTTTGGGAAGACAAAGGAGGCAACAGTATCTAAGCTTCATTTTGAAGATGAAAAGGCAAAGTATATCTTTCGAGTTTATGTTGTATTTCTGAGAAAATGCACATTACTCCTGAAAATTACTCCAAAAGAAATTAACCATTAGGCCAAATATCTTTCTCTACAAGTTCCTTGGTTTGAAAACACAATTGTAATACATGAATTATTATGGTTAAATCTTAGACCCTGCAATTAGACTAACCGTATCTTAGAAGAGTTCCTCAAGTGACCTTGGTAGAGTCAAGTACCGAAAATTCTTTGTAGTCAAAAGGAACAACCCATTATTGGTCACCTACAAGCTCTTCTGGAACCTTGCAAATGCTGTATCTTACATTGTTTCACTTCATCACAATGCGGTGATGACGGAGACAATTGAACGTTAACCATACCTGCAATCATACAATTGCAACAACCATGATAACCACAAATGGGCTTGTCAGAAACATAGATTTTTGTTCATAAAGGCAGCTCAAACAGCTCTTCCAGGGCTCCTAGCAGTGCCTTTCAAAGATCCAGGACTTGGTTGAACATAGCCACAATTTTCTCCTCTGTCTCCTGAAATAGTAAGCTGCATTAGAATGAAATCTTCAAAGAGTTATTACAAAAGAATACTAAAAAAACAAGCTGATATACTTTCTCACCTCGTTTTGCCTTTCTCTGCTTCTCCATTTTCTTTTTCCTCGGGGGAGTCTTTAGAATGTCATCCTCTTCTTCAGACGGTGAGTTCAAAGGGAATCGTACAACTTTCGACAGCACCTGCGTTTCAAATTCCATTGATCATCAGAATGCAATATGGTATGTATGTATACATTGAGTAAAAGATTGTAAATGTATGTATGACCATAACTAATGTTTCTTCCCCGGTCGTCCCGTTACAAAATTGAAAAACTTTTCCATCCTTTTTTGCTGTGGCTCAGCCTCTGTCTCTTCACAGACACTACGTTTTCGCTTTATAAGGGTGCCAATAGCTATTGATTCATTTGCGGCTGAGTCTTCATTGGTATCTTCCAAATCTCTCCAATATACTATTCGAACTCCGCATTTCTTCACCTTAACACATTTGGCACAGTCGTCTGATGTTATCGACAATTGAAGTTCATTGAATACCTGATTCGAGTAATCTGTTGTAAGTGAATCCTCATTTTCACTTTCACCAAATTTATCCTCGTAGTAAAATGGATATAATGAGTCGCGCGGCACAAAAGTATGATAAAAATGGTCCTTTATCATGGGTTGGAAATATTCTTTATTAAAAATCCAGGATCTCCATATGACATGCTGAGGATTTTTAAACCCAGAAACAGATCCATCACAACTAGCTCGTCCAGATTTTCTATGATGGATAACAAATTCACAAGTGAGTTCATCATGCCTCAAACCATCATCGTCGACAAAAACGCAGGCGAAAGCAACTCCCATCCATTGACTATCATTTTGAATATTGTTAGGCAGTGGTATCTTGATCGAGGAGTCATCTGTTCGATGGCTGAACCATTTTGGGATTTCACTTCCAGGTACAACAGCATCAAACTCTTTTCTTGAAATTGCATGGTGCTGCAAAATACAACTTATGTTACTTGGTGACTAAAACTAAAAATTATTCAAGCATGAGATTTCATAAGAGCGAAAGAGAGATTAATTGACCTTAATATGTCTTCCCTGCAATGTAGAAACATCGATACTCTCAGCCAAACTATAGCAGTGAAGACCCCTAAACCGTGGTCCACCCACTGAATTGCATACCTTATTAGGAACTAGTTCCAGAAAAGAACCATCTATGTTTACACCTTCTGTACATAACCCATTCAAATGTTTAAGCTCCTTGCAATTTGACAATCCCAGATATTGAAGCTTGAAACATAGAGAAATAGGCGAAGGTGCACTGACGAAGTTGTTACCACTGAGATCAAGAGTTATCAAAGAGGATAGAGAAGAAATATCACTGGGAATATCTCCTTCGCAAAGATTGCAGTCCTTCAGTTTCAAGCTAGTTAATGATGTCAAACCTGACAATGAATGTAACATTAGAGGCAATGACTCCATACTTCCTCTTTGGAAAACCTGGAAAAGAGGAGGTAGATTTGTTCCAAACTTAGATGCTGATCCCTTGCACCCATTGAAAGACAGAACCTTAAGATTCTTAAATCGGAAAACGAAGTATGGCGGTTTTACAATGGCTGTTCCACTCAAGTCAAGCTCTTCTAGAAACTCTACTTGCTGCAAATCCTCTGGCAATTTATCAACTTTATAACAACCAGAAACATCAAGACTTTTAAGAGAATTGCACCCTCCTACTTTGGTTGGAAGATTCCTAAGACTTTTGCAGCCTCTTAAGTTCAAAATTTCAAGCCTCGAAAGAACTCCGATCGATGGATGAACATCTACTATTTTTATACAACCCTCCAATATCAATATTTCCAGATTTGTGGTGGTTGTGAAGTCTGGTGTCTTGATCAGGTTTCGAGACCCTTTGAGGTTGAGCACCTTCAACTTGTACAAGAGCTGTTGAAACCGATGATGAATTAGAGATAAAAGAGAAAAACTTGATCAAGAAACCAATCCGATAAAGCTAGAAAAGAAGGATGGCATGAATGAATTATTACAGTGTTTCGCTTCCATAGTTGTTCGATGCGACTGTATGGCAAGAGAAGAGCAACAAGGTTATCGGGTTGGAAGCTTGGAGGCAAGAATCTTAAAGGATATCCTGTCCAATCTAAAAGTCGTAGCTCACTAGAAAGATATTTGAGGTCATCACAGTTTGAGAGACAAAGGACTTTGAGCAATCTCAATTTCTTCATCTTCGACAAGGCATCCACATTCAAATTCAGCATCTTCTTCGATTCCCTGATATAGCCATAGGTAAAAGAACGAAAATTCACTTCAAAATATACAAAGGCATCCAATACCAAAGCATTACTTGATAACAATATGAATATTATACCTTTCATTGCCAATGATCATGGCTTCAATCCCTTCTGTAGCCTAAAAGCAATCAAGAACAGAACATCAGAAAACACGACATAAATAATATATAATTTCTGTGGAATGAGTACATACAGTGTTTTTGGCTAGCACATGATAGACATCTTTCTCCTCCCACAATCTACAACGTTTTCCGGGTTCCTCAATACATTTTTCCCTAACAATTTTTCTTCCCATTTCTTGTAGCAGGTTATGCATCCACAGTTTGTTGTTTTCATTAACTGTTAGTAGAGACTTCTTAATGAGAACATCGACTCCGATATCCGGGAAAAACTCACAACCATCCAATACTTTGATTACAAAATCTTTCTCCTCCCCATTGAAGAAGCATGCTATGTCTAGAAATATATCCTTCTCCCTTTCTTCCAATCCATCAAAGCTGATTCGAAGCTTGTTGATAATTTCTTTGTTAGAATCTTTTTCGAGCCTTTCGATTGCACTTTTCCACTGAGTTGCATCTCTACCACACAAAAATGAACCCAAAACTTCAAGAGCTAAAGGAAGTCCACCCGCATATTTTGCAACATGTTTAGAAAGCTCAATGAAAACATTTTCCGGTACTGTCTGGCTATCAAAAGCTTTCAAATTGAAAAGCCGAAGTGCATCATTGTCATTCAATGTTGTAGGCTTATACACATCATCGACTCGGTAAGATTGGAGCAAATGTTCATCTCTTGTTGTTACAATGATTCTGCTTCCTAATCCGAACCAATTACGCCTTCCAACCAAGCATTTCAAGTGTTGTTCATTGTCCACATCATCAATAACAACAAGAACCTTTTTGTGAGACAGCCTGTGGCTAATTATGGCATTCCCTTCATGAACATTGAAAAAATTGAAACCTTCATCAGACAAGACCTGGAAAAGAAGTTGCTTCTGTAGAGAAACAAGTCCGAATTTCCCTGCAACTTCTCGAACATCAGCGATGAAGCCTTTACCTTCAAAATGAGAAGACGTTTGGTCGTAAACAACTCTTGCGAGAGTTGTTTTACCGATGCCGCCCATTCCGCAAATTCCTATAACGCGGACATCATCTTCCCCAATCTCTATTTTCGAATACAACTCTTCCAAGCGTGAACCAATTCCAACCAACTCATCATGAACAATTGGATACGTCTGACATAGTTTTGCGGATATTTTTCTTACAATGTCTGCAATAAATTCTGATTCGGGCCTACGAAGAAACAAAATTTAGTTCTTTTCCTACAATTAAACATATAATATTATATCTATAACATGTGATCCGAAAAACAACAATTTAATTTGTAATCATTAAATCACCTGTCATTTAAATGCCATCCCTTGATGTTTGCCACTTGAGTCAATGCATTTCGCCACCTTAAGATCTTGTCTTCATCTTCCTTGTATCTTTCTTCATGTTTGGCAAAAGCTTCTTCAACTTTCTCTTTCTGTTTTCTAAAACTAGATGGCTCCACGTTGTAGAAAACTGGGAATACTTTATGTCCTGTCTCGTTCTTTTGTTTAACAATCTCGGCAAGCTCCTCCAAGCACCAACCTGAAAAGACATAGGTTTCCGAGAAAACGATTACCGAGCACCACGATTGTCGGATGGCTCTGAAGAGTTCCGGTGCGATCTCTTCACCGGTGTCCAGCTTTGGATCATCCCTGAAAGTTACAATTCCACTCCGTTTTAGAGCATCATAGAGATGACCTGTGAAGTTGTTGCGGGTATCTTCGCCTCTAAAACTCAAGAAAACATCGTATATCCTTGTAGGAATAGATGATGAGGTTGAAGGTAACGATGACATGATGAAGAATCTGGTGCTGAAAATCAGAAAATAGATCTCTCAATATCCAGAAAGAAACTATAAACAATCAAAGTATGGTATAGGAAGTAGGAACATAAAAAAGAGAGCAAAATAGACCAATTTTCCAAGGAAACAAATATGGGGTTACAGAGAAGAAATGATGTATTTGAGAAGGCTTTGTCCATCAGCAAGAGGTAGAGTTTGAAATAAATAGTTCAATTGCTTTAGTTAGATGCGTGTACTTGGGGTTAGGGTGATGTTAAATCGAGTCGAGTGAGTCAACAAATTTGAACTAGTTTTGCTCACAAGTTGGTTTCTACGGTTGATATTTTTCCTACCATTTTCTGAACACAAATTTCTTTTCTTAGAAAACGAAAGGGGGAGACTGGTCAAGTAAACATTGAATTCTACGGAGGAAACTTGCAGCTACGGGTGTTCAAATCCGGATACTCGGGTTTTCGGGTATCGGATATTCGGGTAATTGATTTCTCGATTCGTGTCTCGATCCGGATATTACGGGTACCCGGTACTCGATTTTTTCTTTAAATTATTAATTAAAAATACACACGAATTTAAAATTTCGAAACTTCAAATTACATAGTCCAACATCCAAACATAATAGTTTTACAAGCCTATGGCAGATCAAGCCATGATCAAGATCAACCAGTGCCTACAGCTGAGAAAAGCATAATTAAACCTTCAAAAATGGTCGAAGTACAAATCGAGTTTGCACTTATATTCCCAAGCTACTTCACAACAACTCACTGGGTAGAAATCAGAAATGAACGATGCATAGCATTTATCCTAGTTTCCTTGTAACTCAGTGCGGACTGGCAAAGAGCAGCAGCAGCTCTACTTGTTGCTATAGCCTCACAGCTGCCTGACCTTTGTAGTCTGTTGCGTCTACTTTGTTTTGTAGTTGATCCCCGAACTATGACCATCATTTTAAATTAATCCTCAAATTTCTAAAATTTTGGTTTTTCTATAAATTATCGTGTTATCAATTGACGTCAATAGTTCGGAATAAGATTATTTAATTTTATTTCGATTGAAATTAAGCAATCCTATTCCAGATTGATAGATAATTTGAATTTGAATGACATGGTTCTTGTTTGATCAATTTATTCCCTTTCTTAATAAAAATAAATAATATCATGTGTACGGAAATAGCAAAAACAGTCACTCTTTGGTCTATGTGTTGCAACAAAAATCCGAAATCCCGCCTATAAGCCCTTTTAGCTGCTCCCTCTACTTTCAATAGCTTATAAAGCCGCTAGCGATCTATAAACAACTTATTCATGAGGTTGACGGCATCATCCATGAACTGCAACAACACTAGCAAGTACATGAAATATTATCAGATGCATATACTTTACATCGATAGTCTTTTTGACCATTTGTCTGAGGGCTCTGGACCCATGTTGCTCGTGTACTTCGTTTTTACTTGAAGTATGCATGTCCAGTGCTCGTGTTCAACATATGAATAGATACGACCTCCAAGGATCCTCTAAATAGATGAATTTAGAACAATCCAACCTTACACGTGGAAGATACATACCCATATTTGACACTTACACCCGAGTATGATTATCATAGCTCTGGACAGCATTACAAACTAGAGGAACCCCATTTCCATCCAATCGAAATCAATGTTAAAGACAAAATGCTATATGAATCCCTTGGGCCTATTGGCTACAAAATAACACGTTTCTACTTCATCACAAACATCTCCATCTCAATACTTAAAAAGCTTTTCTTAATTATATTGACTCATTTCGAATTTCAGATGCAACTACCCTGAAAATATGGTCATTAACATCATAAGTTCCTTATTATGGATGCCAGCTACACGATAAGTGGACCATTCCATGTGTGCTAGAAAGAGAACATCAAAAAATACAGATTTTTACCTTTCCAAGCAACTTTAGTTCTTTACTGACTGGTTCCAAAAACTGTGTTAACTTCATTTGGCCACACCTGTCAATACCGAGAAGAAATAAATTAAAAAATGTGTAGCAGGCAAGGTTTACACCCCAGACATAAGCAAAGGAAGCTATTTGTAAAACAGATGCAATGCTTCGGGTAGACAAAGGAAGCAACAGTATCTCAGTTTCACTTTGATGATGAAACTGCAAAGTATATCTTTCGAGTTAATGTTGTATTTCTGCAAAAATGCGCATTACTCCGGAAAATTACTTCAAAAGAAATTAACCATTAGACCAAACATCAAAATCATACGGTTGTTGTACCCTTCCAAAGGTTAAAAATTAAAAATATAATTTTAATCAAATGGTTAAATAGATACATCTAGAAAGACCTCATCACTAGAGCCTAGAGGCTCTCAAAGCAAACTAGAAAGAGGAAGAGGACCATGGAACAAAGGTTACAAACACAACATACAAACATGACACAAGTTTGTTTCGTTAAAATCGAATGCAACAGCCAACAAGAGGCCTTCAACCCGTCTACCGGCATTCAAAATCTGCACAAACACGAGATAAATCCTTTCATAGTAGAATAAGATTACTTATGGAGCAAAATAAGTTGAACTTCCTCAAATGTTTCATATCAAAATTCCAAACTAGAAGTCCCTTTAATTGTACTTAAGCTGCTAATACAACTAGTTATAGATTATGATAATAGACTGATAAAAAAACTCCCATCTTGGCAAAAAAAAAGAACATAAATCATATTTTCCCCAAAAGGAATGAAACAAGAATACCTTAAGACCAAGCAATCTAATAATCTGGCCCGGGACGATGCATTCGGGTCCAGCTGCTTCCGCAATAGCCTCTGTCGGTAACCCACTTCCTATAGGGTCCGAGTGCTGCAAAAATCAAAACAAAAATCTAAATTCATCATATTCTTCTTCTTTTTAGAAGAAAATAAAATTGATTATAAAGGGATGATCTTCATGATGTCGATGGCATAATTGGAATTAGGGGTTTGACGTAGACGAAGAACAGGGGAGTGGTGGATTCTAGGAATAGATTTTCCAGCTGAGGCCGGCCATGGAACATCCTTTTGCAACAAAGCACCTCCTTTCTTCGTCATGCTTTGGTTTTTAATTGTTTTAGTTAAGGATCGAAACGAATTCAACTCTGGGTTTTGAACGAATTCCTGATTGGAATTAAGATGATGATAAGAAATGAATGGAAATTAGTTCAATAGAGAAATTGTGGCTCATCTCACCTGGTTTTTAAACTGTGGTTTATCGAAGCAGGTTTTCTATTTAGGATAATAAAGGTCATTAAATATACTGAAATAATTATTTTAATCACTAAAATTTTAAGGTTAAGCTACACATTTAGTATCTAACTATCAGTTTTAGTCCGTTTTAAGACCTAAACTTTCATTTTTTTACAATCATGCCTAACGTTTAATTTTCATTCCATTTTAGTATCCGACCATTAAAAATTTAACTCATTTAATACCTAATCTATTAGTTTTGGCTCATCTTAGTATTTAAACTTTCAATTTTTTAAAACTTAACGTTAAATTTTGAACAAGGTACTAAAATGAAACAAACATTAAATTTAAGTATATTTTAAAAAAAAATTAAAAGTTTATATACTAAATAGACCAAATATGATAATTTAAATACTAAATTCCTAATTTAAGCAAATTTTAAACATTCTAAAATTATTATTTAAATATAATTTAAAAGGTTTAATAATTTTTCAAAATTTAAAGATTAAAATAATTATTTAAATATAATCTAATAGTCTTCATTATATTTATTTATTTTGTGAATAATAATGTGAATAGTATATGGTCCCAAATTTATCACTATTTTAACATATTATATATAATTATATATGTGTAATTATATATATAAATATATATTTTTAACACGAAGATTTCGGTGGTAGAGAAATTGTTGTTATTTGGAACATAATGAATAGTCAGATCATTTTATAACTTTTAATAGTCGAATGACTTAATAAAATAATATTCTATAGTCAGAGGGCCATTTTGTAACTTTTAATGATCAAGTACTCTATAGTCAATGTACCATTTGTGTACTTTACCCATATTGTAATTAGTTATAATTAAAAAAATAAATCTTTAACTTATAATTTCTTTTATTTAAATGATCAAAGGTTTTTATACATTCCAATGTAAATATAAAAAAAAAGACAAAAAATGAATTGAATGATTCAATACCTTTTATTTGATTAAATTCATGATTAGATATGTACCAAATATAAATGGTAAATTTATCATAGGTTATTGTATACATTTGCAATGAAAATGAGCGTCAGTTTTTAAAGAATCATATCCCTAAGCTCGTGTTCCAATATGTAAATCTAACATGATTTAATTTGCAGAGAAGAACAAAAAGATACAAGTTGTTCCTCAAGGATTATTTGATCAGCAGCCTGTAACCAACAGATTCCAGACATTCTTAATTACATTCCCCGCCGCCGAATTCCGACGAATATATATATATATATATATATATATATAATTCTGAAAAGAATAGAGACGAAGGGAAAAAGAAAACATAGCATACCATCAAAACTGAGAAGGGAATAGCAGAACTCGTTTAGCCTCCTCCACCTTTCTTAGCTGCCTCTTCTTCCAGCTTCTTCCATGCCATTTCCCGTTGCTCTTCCATCTCGTCTGCTCTGGCCGCTTTCTCTTCGAGCTGTCTCTCGCACTCGTCGACTAACACGGGGTCCATTTCCATGAACATCTTGCGCACATTGACCGTCAACCCGTGAACCTCTGGATTCCAATGACCTCTGATGTTCTTCTCCAACGCCTCCAACATGATCGGCAACACCGCCTTCCGGTTCTGCGAGATTAAGCCCACGATGTGCTCGCTGTTCCAGAAAAAAAGGGCTCGTTCCGCCACCTGCAACACAAAACCCTCACCTAGTAGGACCAGAGCTTCAGGAAAACAAAATTAGAGTCCACAAGAACAAATTCAATTTTTCAATTCGACTCCTTGTTAAAATATTTGACTCAATTTATAATTTTATAAACTTTAGGGTAAAGTATAGAAATGGTCCCTGACTATGAGGTACTACTTTATTAAGTCCCTTGACCATTAAAATTTACCAAATGATCTTCTAGCTCTAGAGTGTTATTTTGTTAAATCTCTCAACTATAAAATGTTACAAAATGGTCACCCGATGCGCTAACCTCATCCTTTTATGTTAAAAAACTAATAATATTCTGAGTTGAACATTAACATACTGACTGTGATATAATAAAATTTAATCCTAGAATCTCAAACAATTATCATATTGGGGTCATCTTGTTAACATCATACTTAGGCAACCGTCAACTTTTTAGCGGAAAATGATGAGTTTAGAATATAATGATAGTCAGATGATAATTTTGTAACTTTTAATAGTCGAGGGACTTAACAAAGCAACATTCTATAGTCAAATGATAATTTTGTAACTTTTAACAGTAAAAAAACTTAATAAAGTAGTATCCTATAGTCAATGGATCATTTATATACTTTATCCTAAATCTTATTTGACTCGAAAATATAAATGTACATATTTGATATATTATTATAAAAAATTATTTAAATTGAAATTTATTAAAATATTATAAATATTTATAAATAAATTTTAAATGTAAATTTAAATAATTCGACTTGTTCATATAATTGATTTTAAAATATTTAAAATAAATTTTAAGGTATAAAATACACCTTGTCAACTTAGCTGAATCAAAATTTTTAACTAGGTTCGATACCATTATATATATCTATAAAGAACAAAAGCCTTCAAAGTTACCTGAAAATTGGGGCTATTAACACACCGAGCAACCCGTCGGAAGAGAGGAACCGTGCATCGCTGGAACTCGGCGAACTGCATGGCTTCGAGAACTTCCTCGAGTTCGCCTAGGAAGAGAACCTCCTTCTGACAATTAACCAATGGCCAATACTTCAACAACCCTCTAACAACTACATCAGCCAACTTATAATCCTTATCAACAAATTGGACGATGCAATAAGATAACCGCTGATGATAAAGCGAGAGCTGTTTCAGCTTATGCAAAGGGATCAATGTTTTCGTAAGGAATAGCTTGTATTCTTCTTTGATCGGCACCGTGAAGCCATTGATGATACTTCCGAGGATCTCGAGAAGCTCGCCGACGCCGCAGTGCCTCTCGGTTTCGTATATGAACCTATAGAATATGTTGTTTATGCCTTTCCTGATACACGGGCGATGCACCACGAATTTACCGTAAATCCGATGGAGAACCATTTTTATATACTCTCTTTCCCTTGAATCTTCAGAATCAAACAGATCGAGCAGCTTTAAGACGAAGGTGTGATCAATGTATCGCCTGGCGGACCTGGTTTCTGTATCGGAGGAGACGATGTACCTCAAGAGGAGCTCGTAAACGATCTGTAAATGCTGCCATGCGGGTTCCGAATAGTTTTCCTCGTCTTCGGGATCGCCGCCTTCCGGTCCCGTTGTCTCGTGATACCCCGGCGGAAGGGATCGGAAAATGTTGACTCTTACCATCTTGATCATCTCTCCGAGACACACATCGGCGATCTTGCCCGTTCCGGACTGGATGAAATCGACGAGTTCAATTAATGTTTGCCGCTTGATCTCCTTCTGTCGTACCGATTTCAAGGAGTCCGTGAAATCGAATTGGAAGCAACAAATCTGTAATTTTCGTAAGAACAGAGTCTGCCTCTCTGATTTGGAGACGTCTTTGAATAACGGCAGGGGTTCCACCTTCGTCATCGGAGGGAGGCTTGGTAGCGGGTCACGGGGACTCGGTAACTGACCCGATCCGAGTGTACCGGATCCATTCACGGGTGCATCCGGTGCGTCAGCTTTAGAATGCTTCCGTTGTCCTCCTTTCCTAAAATTCTTAAACATTTTGGATTGAAAACAACTGAATCGATCAATCGGAATAGATATTAAACATCCGACACTAGTGATTTTTGAAGTTTCGATGACACTACTTACATCAAACAATTCTCTATAACTAAAATATTAATAAATTATAAGATTTTCTAATTCTGATCTGAAATCCTATTAACAAATCAAACAACGATGACGAAATAAAAAAAAAGTGAAAAAATATTTAAAATATCATGATATTATAAATAAAATTTTAAATAAAAATGAATTAACTTTTTTTTGACGCTGTCTTTTATACACGTGGCTTGGAGATAAGAATCGGTAAAATCCAATTTCCACGTGGAAGTGAAAAAGAGAGGAGAACTTTTTAGTTCAATCAAAGTTTATTGGATTAATTATGTTAGACGTCCTTCAATTATGATCCAAATGTGGTTCTATTTTTTTTAATAGTACGAGATAGATTACAAGATAGTATTTATTCAAAACTCTTTTAATCAATTGACAATAGACACACTTAGACGTAACTGCTCGACCTTAAATTCTCTAGAAAAAACGATATTTCCTTTAACCATTGAGACCATTTGAAGAATTTATTCTAAATTTAATTTTAACCAATTTCTCAAACTATTATTATCTTATCAATCAGATATTTCTATTAATTTAATTATTAGTTTACACATTGAAAATCAATTTTAATCTGACATAGAATATATTAAAATATATTGATCGAATTTTAAGTACATTTATACCTACCATATGAAACATATTGGATTAGTCGTGTTAAACAATATAAATAATTCTCCTGAATTTTAATGTTATTGTTTTTTATTATTTTAGATTCATTTTTTATTAAATTATATTGATTACAAAGTAATATCTATTCTAAATACTATCAACCATTTGACAATAAACGTTCAATTATCAATATTAATAATCGTTAGTGCTCGAATTCAGAACTTCTAAGAATAACAAATATTCATTTAACTACTGAGGTAATTTAACTCGTTCAAATTTTTTAAGGGACAGATACACACATTTGAAAAATAAGAAAAGTTTAAACGGGTATGACAAATAGAACTACGCGTCGATGGATAAGAAAAATTTCAACATCAAATTAGCCAATTATAACAATATTAGATGCCCATATGACAGAATGAAAAGCAAAAAATATTAGCAAAAAAATACATACCAATATCTATAAACATAATATAGTTTAGATACGATTATAACACAACAAAATACATAGACCCGGTACAAGTTTAAGGCTCGAGATACGTAAAGCACAATACAAATAGGATTACAATACAATAAAATCCATAGAATACACGAATAAGATTCGAATTAAAGTAAAAAAAAAAGAGCCTCATTAAAAATCCCTTCTAAACCTCCAATATAAAAAGTGTACCCAAAAGAAATATATCGTGAATTAAAGAGTCCAGACACAGAAAACCACACACAAAGGATAGAGAAACGTACGAGTTCAGCCAAAAACCATAAACAAAAGACAGGGAAGCAGATATGGAAACCAAGTCCCTGGCAGTTTACCAAAGATCTTTCTGCAAATGCAAACTACTCTTTGATTTACAACCATGAGAGTTCGGCCGTATACGATTCCCAAACCTTTGCCTTTTTAATTCCCGTGATAACTCAGGTAGGCACGCAAGTTTTTCTCCAGCTTTTCATATGCTAATCGCACATGAAAACCATTTTGCTTGGCGTAATTGAACGTGGCCGCCCACTTTTTAAACATGTTACACATATCCCCCTCCATTTCATCGACTTTCAAATCTTTCATCTCTTTGATGGCAGCAGAGAGCAGAACTCGGATACATGGGTTGTTAATCTGTTTACCAATAGCCTCTTCAATTTCCACAGCAATATGTTCCAGGTGGTCCGGAGTTTTCCCCCAGCCAGCTCTGTTCAATGCCTCTGGCAAGCCCTCGAATTCTGGAAAATCCACTTTGTTGTTCTCTTCGTTGTAAAGTTGGTTCTTAAAATTAATAAATTTAGTGGGTAAATCAACCAGAGTTGATAAGCTTCCATGATCTGGATTTTGATCAAGTTCTTTGATATCAAATGGTAATCCAGAAGCCAACTAAAACAATAAACATGAAAACATGTCATCAAAACAATGATATATTAGTTCTATGAATCTATGTACACCGGAAACTGGAAATTATATATATATATATATATATATATATATATATATCTCGTACCTTATCTCTTAGATCCTTTGGGCTGTAATCCTGAAATTTACGAGATAAATAAATAAATGATCAAGATGTAAGCAAAGGAAAGTCTAAGGTATGGATGGAGAATAAATTAACAGACACATTTGGATATAAGTATCAAATATGACGACTACATGTGAAAAAGCTTCGAAAAAGTTGAACATACATGCTTCAGGAATGAATCCATATTCAACACTTGCACTCAAATTCAAGTAACAGCTGAAAATGACTTTGTAAAACGGATCTAGAACAGGGGAAAGACGATATGCTTTTAATGTGATTTATAAACAAGAAATGTTCATCTTTTTTCAAGAATAATAGTACTACGTTGGTTAATATCAATGACAAGGAACATGCATACCATATTCTTAATGAAGATTTCATCAAGGCTCCTTGCTTTTTCCAGATCCTGAAACGCCAAGTTAAAATGTTAAATTAGAGATTCAGGTTGTGAAATCTATCATGATAACTAGATTTGTGAACATAAGCGTACCCGGCAGATTTGTTTTAACTCCTCCCTTGCGTTTTCCATTTTCTGAAAAACAAAGTTACAATGTTAAACTGGGGTTTAGATCATGAAATCAAACTTTTAGATCTAGGAACAGTAGCTTACCTGTAGGAAGACATTTAACCTATTGTGTGCACCCACCAATCTCTTCTTCGCCACTTCTTCTGTTAATCTACCTTTCTCGTGTTTGACTGGTATGTTCTTGATATATCGATCAATTCTTTTAAGTTTAGCTCTCATAGCTTTCCAATCTGTTTTCAATGTTTGGGCTCTAGCTGTCCATGGCTTTTTTATTTGATCGTAGGTGAGGAATAATTCACCTAGCAGGGCCATCACCTTAAAACATACAGACAGTGTTAATGCAAGGATTCAAGGTATTATCCCGTTCAAGAAAAGGCACTTCATAAGAAAAGTATAGGCCTTTGCTTATAGAGGCCATAGTTCAATAATTTCAATTACTAGTTGATAGACTTTAAGGTATTATTCCCTTTAGAAGGGAGAACTGTCCTCACAGTTGTATCTAATAAGAAAAGGTGAAGGTAGAAAGAACCCTTGCTTTATAAACAGAGTCCAATTCTTTCTAATTAATGTGGAAATTTTTGCCTTCGACATATATGTATATAATAAATAACAATAATGTGAATTGAATATGAAGTACTAAGTTCAGGTAAGAGAATTTACGCTCTCCGTCCTTTTGGAGACTCGATCTGTCAAAATTTTCGCACTTCCCCCCACAGATTTCTCCTTGATATGCTCTTCATAACTCACTCGCACTGCTTTACTGGTCGGTGCTGATTCACCGTTAACAATGGTTCTTCTACGCCGGGACTGTTTCATTTTGCCTTTTCCTTTAGCTTTTGATGAGTCATCAGAAACTAATTCCCGGCCTCTTTTCTTGCTCCCACTCGGCATCGAGCTCAGTGAGTTCACCTGGTTGTCATTTGGCAACAATTGTTGCCCACACACTCCATGTTGGTCTCTTTTGTTGCTTCCACTTGGCATCGACCCGAATGAGTTCAGCTGGTTGTCATCGGACAACAACATCGCTCCATGGCAGTCTCTCATGTTGCCTTCACTTGGCATCGGGATCAACAAGTTCTCCTGGTTTTCATCAGGCGGTCCATGTGCTCGAAGTGACTGTGCAAACTTATTTACAGACAAAGCACAAACATAGTTGTTGTCGCTGTACGGATCAATGTCAGGGCTGCTGATCATGCACGGGTCTGGGAAATTTAGCTCAGATCAGACGAAATCATTGGGTAGAAAACAGCCAAAAACATTAATGATTTTTCCCATTTGCAGAACAAAAATAGAAAGAAGCAAGTCAAGGACACTGACATTTCTTCAAACAATTAGACATAAACTAACAAGACGATATGAAACGAGATTTCCTCGAGCAATTAAAGAAACCAGCATTAAAGGCCATACATGTGTGTGTGTAAACAGAAGCAGGAAACAACAAGGTTGCCTGCTGTAGGCCATACTTTTCTTGGCCGTTGTGCCTTTTCCACTTACCAAGTTGAAGATGTCCTGGTGATGGGTAATCAGAAACCGAGAGGTCGTTGGAAGGATTCAAATCAGAGCTGCTCATCTTGTACTGATCTGGTAAATTTAGCTCAGGTCAGATCAAATCACTAAATCAAAAACAGCCAAAAATACTATCCATCTTCCCCAATTCAGAACAAAAAAAGAAAGAATCAAGCAATTGAACAAAACCTATATATTCCGTCAAAACAACAGATATATAAACTATAAACTAAGAAAACGAAAGATACGCAATGAAATGAAGTTTCATCAAGTAAACTAAAGAAACCATAAAAGGAAATTACATAAAATCTAGAGCAAGATTTGATAAATGAACTAATAAATTCAGTAGAAGCACTTACTGCTTTAGTGTAGTGAAGAGAAGAGCGGAGAAGGGCCGGCTGCCGAAGAGTAAAGCGAAAGAAAAGAAGGAAGCCATAGACACGGAGGATTTTAATTAAAGGGGAATTGCCGTTAGAGAACGCGCGAGACTGCAAGTTTGCCTATATAATTTGAAGCGCGGAGACTTTTCACTTGAAGATGGTTTAATCAGGCAACTCGATCTGACCACTGATACAGTTGGTTAAAGTACAAGGCTCCTAACTTTAAGGTTATAAGGTTTTTAATTTTGTAGTCAGATTAAGTTTCACGATGGTCAATTTAAAATTTTGACTGTCTATTATTCTACTTTTCTTTATCTCATTACACATGAGAATACGTTAAATAATTTATATAATAAATAAATGGAAAAAGTATCTCTACCTTTTTACATTTGTATTTTTTATCAAAATTAATATGTAAAATTATTTTAGTTAGTCCAAATAGGTACGTAAAATATTTTTTTTATCTAAGTACTTAAAATATTTTTAATTAATGTTCATCTATCATCTTTTTTAGAACTTAGATGAAATTTTTTAAATAATTTAAGTACCTATTTTAATATAAAATACTTTAAGTACTTATTTTAAATTAAAAAATTAGATATTTATTTTGACTAAAAAATTATTTTAGATACTTTAATAAAAAAAATGAATATACTTCAAATACTTATTTATGATATAAGCCAAGAACATTTCAACTTTCAAGTAATTCAATCAGTTAACATATTATAATTTTTTAAATATAATTAATTTAATTATTCAATTAAAATATTATTTCAAACGGATATTGTTTTGGTGGGCTTCGATCTTTGCTACTTTTAATCCTTTTATTTTTCCCGAGTTTTCTTTTTATCCACTTTAGTACTTAATGTTTAGAGTGTGTTTGGGTGGGGGAATGTGAGATTCTCATGAGAATGGAATCCATATTCTCCCGTTTGGTTGGCCGAGAATGTTATTCCCGGTAATCTTACATTACCAATAGTGGATTTTTTGGGATATATTACTAGGAATGTCATTACCTCTCTTTCCTTAGGTATTGTTGGATTACCGGCGTTTTGGACTTAAAATGCCCTTATATTTTTTTCTTCAAAAATATCCTTATTCTGTCATTGAATAATAAAAATTCTACGAATGTTAAATTACAAATTTATCCTTAAACTATTTTAGATTTACAAAAAATATATATATATAATTAAAATTTTATATGAAGTTCAGGATTAAAATAAAATTTCACCATTTTATTAAACCTTTTTATATTTTTAATTTTGTAAAAAAATTATATAAATTTTATGAATTTAAATTTTTTAAAGGAAATATATAAATATTTTCCAACTTGTTAAAAAACAAATATATAATAAGGACAATTTGGTCAAATATACATTCCAATAATATTTTATTCCTCTAACCAAACACGGTAATCTTACATTCCTGCTAAACCAACCAAACACAAATTATAACATTTCCAGTAATCCTATTCCCTGGTAATCTTTTATTCTCACTTATAATCTTTTATTTCGACTGGTAATCTTACATTCCGTGAACCAAACACAACCTTATAATTTTTTTAATAAATTACATAAACGGTAATTTATGTTTGAGTAATTCCCCCCCCCCCCGGATATAACTATATTACAAGACTTGGAATTATCAAATTAGAGCAAATGAACGAAATGTACAGCTTATATATAGAAATTAATAATATAATTTGATTTAATATATTTTATACATTATAATTTGATTCAAGATTAAAAGTTTACAATCTCGAAAATATAAAATATGTAATAATTCACGTTAATTTAACAAATATCTAAGTGATAATTTTTTTCTTCTAAAATGGCTAAGAACCAAAATATCATTATACAAAAAATAATTATTTTTATTCTAATATTGTTTTATAAAATAGTGTGGATAAGATAAATATATTTAAGATTTCAGATAATTATTTTAAAAAAAATCTTTAACCGGCTAAAAACACTGAATTTAAGCCACTGTCAAACTCTCTAATTTCAATTATAAACATAATTAACAAGAAAATTAACCGAAAAATAAGAAGAAGAAAAAAAAATCAATAAGTCTTCCTGCATCGTCACTAATCGTGATAAGCAGTGGGGATGCACTAAGCCTCTATAGGAGTCGAATACATCCTTATTATTTTGGAAAAGTGGTTAAATTTATCTGATGGCATAAGGTCTTCCCCATTGGAACTTGTAGGACCTTCAGAGTTGTCACAGTTTTCTCTCTGGTGATTCTGGGATTGGCTTGTTTCTACCTTTGAGATCTCATTTGTAGACATGTTTTGATGACTGTAAACTTCTTGCAACCTGGCAGATCCAACCATCTCTAAAAGCTGTACAAAAGAAGTAGAGCTATTCAGCACGTCAAACATAGGTCGCTTAGTATATTCACCCGCTTCCGAGTTGCTCTCTGAGCATAATGCTCTTCTTTCAGCAGTGTGAACCAATGAAAACTCCACAGAGGTTTCAGATGAAACCACAGAATTTTGAGATGAGAGGACATCATTTGCTTCTCCTCCTCCTTTGGAACATTCACTTTCCCCCCTGATAGTTTCCATGTTCATTCTGCTTATAGTGGAGTCACAACATGTACTCAAACCACTTCCAGAAGAGTCCAGCAACTTGCACTTTGGTTCATTTATTGAGCTTACTGTAGCAGCACATTTCCAGACAATTCCTTGCTGTTGACAACCTCTTTTTCTTCAGAGTCTTGATACCCATCAACAGTCATCGAACTTTGGTCACCAACTGGTTGAATTAATATACAGTCTTCTGGCTCCAAGACATAGAAGTCTGCTCCATTTGCTAAGCTTGTTCCCTCTTGATGATACTTGTCCTTGCCTTTTGATTTGAGAGGAAAGCGAGTGGCAAGAGACATGAATGCAGAACTGTCAAAGTTTGAACAAAAATTAAAATATTTCCTTTTACTGTTGTGGCTCATTAAAGGTTCTTAGGGGACTTTAGCTTACCTGGAAAGATGGTCAGAGACATTTTGAGTAAGAAAAACTCCAACTACAGAGTCCAAGACTGATCCTTTCCATGGAGAGAAGCGTCTATCCCCTGTAGAAATGACATTGAACTCTCATGAAGGAAACAAAGGTAAGAGAGATCATGTCTTCTAAATTCTAATATATAAACATGAAACAAGTTCACTGAGATACATGTCATGGTAGATCCCGTTACACTTAGCTGTTATACAGAGATAACTTGTGCAATTTATGTTTTTATAGAGAAATTCCCCACCTTTCCCCCTCTGTTCCCTTTTTTTGAACACCTCTCTGCATAACGTACAATCCTTCTATTTCTATTTATATAGGCACTGATAAGTGGGACAGAAGGGTTCAATAGTGCCATTTACAGCAATAATATTTACCTGAACCTCATTTCATAGCATGATAAACACTATTAATCATTAAAATAATCTATCTAATTAAGTGTTTTAACAAATGCTTGTAAAACATGTCCTCTAAGAGTGCTATCAAGGAAAATATTAGAAAACTATGTTACCTTTTACAAGGTTCATACGTGCAATAAATGAGTCTGCACGTCCACTGAATACTCTCCTTTCTTCCTCCCACCATTTTGCCTTCTCTTCATCAGTTCCATCAATACCTTCATTATTGATATTTTCTAAGAGAAGCTTCCAAACTCTAGTTGTCTCTTCATCCAGGTTGACCTTAGGCCGTGGGCGACGTTTTCTAGTTGGCAGAAATGGTACAATGGTTCCATCTCTATAAACAACAAGTGCATTCTGCTCTTGGTATCTCATAATATAAGGGACAAGTGCATTCTGCTCTTGATATGCAATTGCGCTACCTTCCCTATTAATGTCCAATTGGTTGAACTGTTCAAGAAGTGCATCAACAGAGAAAAACTGTTTCCATATTTCTTCTGGAGAGGAACCTGCATTAAGTTGATTACATGAGTTAAAAGGTTTGACAGATATGGCAAATTACTCAAAGATCTAAAAGTTACTTGAAGAGATGATGTTAGTACTTTATTGGCATACCTAAATTTTTTTAAGAAAACTGGTTTTGATTTGATAAGGCGAGTTTCATGTGCATTTTTGCTTCACTCGTACCAGAAAATGCTGAATTTACGAAACAGTTTGTCTTCTTTGGTCTCTTTGTTTTTGCCAATTTTGCATGCATTTCTGTGGCAATGGCTTCTATGCTTGTATGAGATTTCCCTGTATTTGCAACTTGTCTTATGTCATAATCAACAGGTGACTGATTGCTGCAGCCTTCTGGTGCAATGCCATTAAGTGAAGCCAAATCTCGAATCCCTGTGGTTCCTACAACTATCTTTCTCTTTGGACTCTCTGTTTGATTTGGAGCTATGATGCAATTAAAAGTTTGCAACTTATTCAGAGAAAAGTTCATTCCTGGGTCATGTTTTGTTGAAACAACAACGTGGGTATTTAGTTCACCCTTATCTGCCAGACATGCTTCAGCAGGAGTGAGATTTTCTGCAGCAGTGAGGGGTGATGGTGCCCTAGATGCGGCCAAGTTTTGTTCTTTATCAGTTTTCTTTCTCCTGTGAAATTTTGGATATTGCATCCCTAGTATCATCTGGTATACAGATAAATTATTGTATTGACTCCCATGTGAATTCACTGCACTGGTATGTGCTTGTTGAGTGGCTGCTGACTTATTTGCTTGCCCTCCCTCCGGTAGCAAGCTGCTTCTGCACTTAGTGTCAATCGGGCTTCTTGCTGGAAACTGAGCATCGGATTCCAACTCAGTTTGTTGGTTTATTTTTAGTCCATCATGGGCAGTAGCTCTATGTTTTCCTTTCTCATTATTTAGCTTCTGGGGATGAGTATTTCGTCTTCTATGGGAAGGAGTCCTCTTGTCTGGAAGTGTTGTGCCTGGTGCTTGATCTTCAGGCAAAGATAAACAATCTTTCAGCGTTTGATTTACAGATTGGTTTAGTTCAAAGAAAATGCCTGTTTCTGTCTTTTTTGCTGTCACTTCAATTCTGTCAGAAACTGAATCATTGACTTCGATTGACTTCCTTCTTTCCACAGGTTTTCTGTCCCTGAACTAGAATTTAAATAACTGGCTGGCTTGCCTGCAGAAGTTTCATCTCTTTCTTTCCCT